ATCATCTTCACAAATTTAGGATCGAATTATTATTATTTTTAAATATAGCAGATATGTTTACGTGATTCATCGAAAGGATGTTAACAATTAGGGCAATGCATGTATAGTTTCCATGATGGATCCAAAGTTAGTCTGACGAAGTCGTAACGAGGTTAATAACATTGGTTTAATAACTTGACTGGCGCACAGTTGATTGTGAGTTAAGAATGTAAAAGTAAATTTGGGGTCAATTATAAAACGATTCGAAGTCCTCACTCCTTCGATTAATATTCTCTATCATAGTAACGAGTTCTGTCGCGAATATATATCAAACAGAACGGTCTCGACTGGACTGGTCCCAATGGACTTTAATTTAGCCAATCTTCATAAACTCTGTCCTTGACTGGCAACATATTTGCCTATTACACCATGTCAGACGTTATATTTTACGTTCTTTTTTGTTAATTTAATAATTTACCTTAAAACAATTCAAATGTCAAATGTTTAAAAAAATAATTTTTTTTTTGGAATAAATTTATTTCATACATATATAAATATATTATATATATATTATATTATATTCATGTGTAACAAAAATGAAGTTTTACAATATGACAAAAAACGATTATTTCAATATCTCTTAATTTTTTTATAATTATGTTGAATATTTTTCTATAAAATAATTTTGTATCATTAATATGAATTCATTTATGCAATTTTAATTGGAAAAATTTGTTATTGGAAAGTTATTAAATTATTAAATCATTATGTACAAATTCAATTACAAATTTAATTACAAATTTAAATCTGAAAATAATTTTCTCGTATTTTGTATTGTATTATAATTGTATTAATTGTCATTCGATTGAGCGTCAAAAGTAAATATAAATACATTCAAAACTTAAATTTTTTTAAAAATATTTATGGAATGAATTATATTCATATTATTCCATGTATATGGAATTTTTTGGATGTAAAAATATCAAAATATTTCTATATTTTTTATTATTAATTTTGACATTTTGGTAGAACTTGACGAGTACATTTCAAAAATCATAATTTTAATCTTTAAAAATAAGCATAAAATCGAAAATCATGCATGTTTAAATACATATTAATGACGTTCAATATGTATATTAAGATGAGTCGATGATTATACAAATGAGCTATAGTAATGCAAATTTTTAATTTTTCGTGTGCATTCTAAATACGATATCAATTGCTAATTAAATATTTATTTATTGAAATTAAACTTGGTTTAATTTACAATGCCTGAGAATTATTTTCGTTTTATTAATCCTTTTCTTTATGTGCTTTGTAACAAAACCAATATTGATTTTATTTAAACATGATTTTCAACCATGAATTTTTAAAATTGTGGAATTTATTCGTCAAATAAAAAAATTAAATATTTTCAACAAAAAGATTTGTATCCGGAAAAATAAAATTTTATTTTTAAATTATATGTTAGAACGAATGATACGTATCAACAATTTGAAATATAAGCTAATTTTACCCCTCAGATAATGATTAGAAAAAAAAAAAGAAGGAATCGAAATAAGTTGAAAAGAGAGAAGGTGAAGAGAGAAAGTACGATCTAAAGAAAGAGAGAAAACTGATATAGAATTGCTTTTGGTCCCAATGGCTTGTGGACGAACGCGTGAACTCTATTTTTAGTCTTCAGTGAAATGACAGTCTCTCTTCAGTGTATATGAGAAGCTATTGATAGGTCGCGGGCTTCGTTGTGAGAGCAGTCAGGCAGACACATCGCGTGAATCACACGAGACGTTGTCGTTTCTTTACCTGAAGTCATATATTGCGCTAGTATGTCTACCATTACTCGTTCGTTCTCTAACCAACCAATCAGACGTACGTAGATGGCAGCACGTTAAAAGATCTCATAATAATTCTAGATTTAATTAACGCATTAAAAAACAATCAGAAAAGATTGATTCAAAGTTTCTCACGAAGCGGTATACGGAGTTGAAAAAGTGTTTGTTTTTAAAGTGGAAATGTTTGAAAGGCAGCCCACACGAAGGAATCCCACGCATGAATCAACATTGATTTCCTACTCGATCGTTAGAGAACGTTCATCTTGCTTCTATTATTATTATTTCTAGAATAGCGTCGAAATAATGAATGGCTACTACGATCAGAGAAAATCGTGGGTGGCTGAAACCATACCAGCCACAGTTTATGAATAGCGGGACGCTTTTTAATTCGAGGCTCAAGACGATCGTTCGAGCGATCTCTCTCTGTGCCTCGCGAAAACGTTCTCATCACATCGTACGTGGACATTTACATACATACATACATACATATATACATACATACGTACATACACATTCATCGCCGTTTGGTTGCGATATTAACACAGTCGTGTGATATTTTTGGCCATAGCGTCACACAGTTATATTTATACGGTATTTGCAACTTCGAAGGATATTCAAAACTTCCTTAAAGAGAAGAAAAAAAACAAAAGCGTTTTTTTATCAGTATCATTATTATTACGTTCATTTGTGCTTAATTAAGAATAGATTCTATGAAATAATATACCTTTACTTTATCAATGCAGTTAGTTGTACGTATATTTAATGATGTCCAAGATGTTTAATGATGTTCAATATTAAATTTATAATCGATCTTATATACATTTTTCGAATGCCTAAATCAATAAAATAGTTTCTGGTACTTTGTAATATTCGCAATGTCGTGGATTTTATCTGAGGCATGCGTCGGCTGGTACTTAAATGTATCTCTGAAAGATAAAAAATACACTCGGTCGCGGAATCCAGTTAACGGTCTCGTGTTCTCACGTGGTCCTCTCAAATTCGGAATTTACTCGTGGCGCCTCGGTTCCCTTGTAATACGAAGTTGAACGTCTGTGTTCGGTCTTTGGCGGTCTTTCTTTCTTTTCTTTTCTTTTCTTTTTTTTTTTTTTTTTTTCATCACTTTATCACTCGAATCAACATCGAACGTGTATCGTTTCGCGTTTCAGGAATGTTATGCAGCATTATAAAACCCCAAATTTAATTTCTTCCCTTGATCCCGGCTGTAACTGGAACCTTTTTCGATTTGTGATCTCTTATCCTTTGCTTCGGTCGGCATGCCATTGGAAAAAAATCTCTCGAGATTGGCTTTTCACACTCGCAGATAACTAGGTGCCAGGAATTTGCTCTAAAGTTGGATATTTATCGACTGGCCAACTCGTATTCGTTGAATAACAGAAAAGTTATACGGTGGTTTCAGGATCAAGTATATCAAACGATCCTTCTTCTTGTTCTATTTATTACTTTGGATAAAGTTCCCGATGAAACTTAGAGAGATAAAGAGAAATTTACATCTAAAATTTTAGCTTGGAATATTTATTAATTTCTAAAATATTAATAAGAAATTAGTATTGTATATTGAATGTTGCATATACAAATGATACTAATACATTGAATGTTATTTATCCAGATATTAATACAAGAATCTTCATTAGTAAAAGTTGTCTAATGATATTTACATTAGCCTTAATATCTATACGATATTCTCCCTGCAATTCATCAATAATTCATTTCATTTTATCCATTCATTACAGCTATTTCGTAAATCCTTCAATTAGCTCTTTCTTCTTCGATTTTAATGGAGAATATATTGTAAAGGATAACTTTTTCTTTTATATAATAAAAAGTTTATACAAATGGTATTATACTGATATAGATGCACAAAAGTATATACTTTTTTTTTTTATAAATAACTCGAAAACTAATCATCGTTAATGTTTCTTTTTTTTTTTTTTTTTAAGTTTTTGTTACTAAGATAAGATTTTAATCGAAAGAATTTGAAGAAAGTTCTTCCTATTTTTTATTAATTTTTAAAAAAATTAATATAAAATAAAGTATGGAATATAAATTCAAAATCAAAATATTTGTAATCAGTAAGAATAATCATTTTTTCGTTTATTTTCTTTTTTCAGCTTCATAAATGCGTCAACAGATTGATTATAATAATATGAAATCATGCAAAGATTAAATATACAATATTTTTTCGATCTTATTAATTTATCATTCATTTTTATTGTTTTATTTTTATTTAATTCATGATATTATTCTTTAAATTTATTCAAACCTCTTTTACTTAATATTCATTTATTTCTACCATCGTTAAAAAATTTCGATACTAATTACCTTTGTAAAAAAAAAAAAAAATTGAAATACCTTTCCTAGATGTATGTCCATGGTTCTTGAATTGAATCGTTTATATACCATTGAGCATGAATGCATCGTAAAGATCAATATAATCGAGCAAAAACATCTGAAAAAAGAAATACCTTAGGGAAAAACAGCAGATCTATGGTAGAAAGTGGCATGGACAATGGTACGAAATATGGATTTATAAAGCGTGTATATAGTATAATATATTGCAAGAACGGTGTCACTGACATGGTTTAGAATAATCACGAGGATAGGTGGACGGATACTTTTTCGCGGAAATGTTTAGAAAGTGGTGACCGAGACAGAGACGTTAAATGATAATTTATATTACCGGAGGAATATTGTAAATCGTGTCGCGAATAATGGTACCATTGACCGTGATAAACGAGTCCTTTGTGATCAATAACACCTACCAATTACTTGTCGATAGATTTATGCACGCGATGCATGTAAACGTTTCAACTGTCGTCAGCGATGCGTAAAGGAGTAATAAACATGTAAGCACGTTTACAGGCTTGAAAACATTACAATCACACTTTCAAACGTCACCGTGAACGTGTCCAGTAGTGTGAACAAGCTAATGGAGAAACTCACAAGAATTTGCATAATTTGGAAAAGGAAAATAACGTATTAGCATTCGTTAGTATTTGAATAATAATTAACTTCAATGATTATTTCCTGGATATATTAAATTTTGTCTTTACGGCGGATAAATATTTATATTTTTTTTTTTTTTTTTGCGCATCTTGGCATAAAAATTATTATAGTGTCTCATATATATATATATTTTGTTAAGCATCTGTAAATACATCTTGCTTTCAGATACAAAAGAAACGACGAATCGTAGCGAGAGTCCATTGTCGTAACATCAAGAACGAATGCCCAGAACTCACGTGCAAAGATCCAATTCTTCTTCCAGATCGATGCTGTAAATCTTGTCCGGGAAATTCCAGTAAGTAATATTGTGATTTTTCTTTGTAGACACTTAATTCTTTATATAACAATGTTTTCTTCCAAATATTTCTAAAATTAAAATTGAGGGAAAATTACATATAGGATAAAATTTTTTAAAATATTAATATACGATATTAATTATATTAATATTAAAATATAATATTAATATATTTAATTTACGATATATTAAAAAATCATAGAAATCGAAAGTGATATTTGATATTTCTAAATAATTATCAAATTTTTTGTTTTGATACATACAAATCATTATGTTTTACTATTTGCATTTATGCAAGTTATTACATAATACATAAATGTTATGTATAATAATGTTATAAAACATAATGTTATTATAATACATAAATGTTATAAAAAAAAAAAATATTACCGTAATGTAAAAAAAGTTTTATAATATCGATCATTGTTTCAAAGAAATATCCTGTCAGCGTGTATAGGTTATGTTCATGTTTTGCTTAGTATTATTGGATTGGACGTAAACAGCAATATTCTATTTTCGAACCAGTATAGATCCAGTATTATATCTTAAAATGAAAAAATATGTTATAATAAATTAGTTCAATTTGTCGGAATGGATATGTACCTTAAAATAAAGTAAAATATATATCGTTGACATTTCTTCGCATTAGCATCTAACCATAAATATTTCAAAGAGAAAAAACGAAGAAAAAAAGGTTAATTATCAATAGTGAAATTGAAATAATCATAGGTCGTAAATATCAACGAAAGAATATATATATATATTGAGAGACTGGAGGCATTAATGAGAATTAAGTGATTTATATAAATCATTTATCAATGATCACCGCCTCTCTTATCTATATCGTTGTTTTTATCGACTACCAGAGGGCTCCCTCGTTCTTTCTTCACGCATCCTTCGAACGTTTCTCTATCGATCCTATCGATTTGATAATCGTATTTGCAATGCTATGTAATCATGATCGACCATTCTCACCTTATATCTTTACTTGTATTATCGCTATAATTGTCAAGTGTTCCTATTAGCAAAGATTAATATCTTTTTTTTAATGCTGTAAAATAGCAAAAGAATTTTACTTGTTACTTTTTGTCATTATATGAAGCTTTCTTTTTTTCAACGATTTTTTCGAAGTTTTTATCTTTTTCGTTTTTTTTTTTATTATTATAATATTATTTTTAATTTCTTAAAGTAATTGTTCTTGAAAACAATTTTTGCTATTCATAGTTTCAATTTCCGCAATGATGTAAAATGTATCAAAGTTCGCAACATTTGTTTAAAATATTTACTAATCTTTTTTAACGATTTTTAATTTTTAGCATAGTAGCGTAAAGTTTTGGAAAAAAATAATAAAAAAATTATTTATCCATTTATCTATTCTCATTCTATCTCAGATCTTTATATTATATAGTTACGCTAGAATTCGTTTTCTTGTTCTTCAAAATGTCTCGCAAATAACAACTTTCACTTCAATGGCATGTGCCAAATTCTTCTAACATTTATTTGGCTCTGTTTCTTTTTTGAATGGAATTCCATATATCATCATTAATTATCATAGAATGTGGATAGAATAAATGAAATGGTCGAAATACTTGCGCCCATTCCTGTCGCTTTTATATGGAAATATGGTCACCAATGAGACCTAGAATTTAGTATTCTCTTAAATAAAAGAATTTCTCTGAAACAGAATTCTAATCAAGTTGAATCAATCAATCAATCTAATTGCAAATTTAATAGTTTATAAATGTTTCCACGTCAATTGCTAATTCATTTTTGATTATCAATCAACTTGATAATTAACAATGATTTTAATTTAAGATAAGAAAAATTAAATAAAATATAAATGATTATATTGATTACATTTGACCCATTGTATTTGTGTTCATATTCCAAGAATTGAAATTATAATTTTGAATCACTAATCATGACTTACATATACTTTAAAATTAAAATTGTAATTTTTCATCAAGTTGGTGAAAGCGTAGGCTTTTTGATGAACAAACATCGAATGAAAAGATAGTCACTCGATCAAACGCATATATTCATCACTTTTACAATGAGCAGCGCAATTTATTGGTTACTTAGAATCAATTAGCTAGCTAGTCATTTATTAACCATGGATAAATCCATAGTCTTTGTTCGTGCGTTTCTTATTTCTATTCTGGACAATGGAAAGATTTTTTTTTTTACAATCATAAGAATATACTTTCTTTGTCATCCTGTATTTTTTTCTTTTTTTTTTTTGTTTTTTATATATATTCTTGTCTACTCGTAACCCATTGAATAGGAATGCCAATCAGACGCGATGTTAAGCATGTCTAATGATGTTGTAACATTATTTTTGTGTAATTGGCTACAAGAAAAGTAGGATTTCTTGCATAGAACTTACAATTAGGTGGAATTAACAGTTTATCACTATTGGTATTATCATATATAGTAAGATTAGTATGCGTGCCCTACTCCTCATTGATTGAAAACACTGTTTTAGCAATTCAAAAAACGTATTACTACGTGACAGACACTTCCACGTATTTGCAATTGTAATATTTTAATTATTTCTTTTTATTGATATCACGTTCCATTATAAATTTTCTTCTTTTTTTTAAATTCCAGTTTTTATTTACATAACATTAATAGATAGTTATATAATAAACAAAATAACATTTTGCTAGTTAAGCAATAAGTCAATCAAATCATGCCTGTCAATATTTCTAATGTGTTTATATGATTTATGTGATAGGGTTTAAATTATTTTATCTAAAGGATATTTGCATTTCAATTTTTTACATAGATAATGCTAACAAGCAATGTAGCAATTCGCATTAAGGGATTTGTATGAAATACCAAGTTAATATGTGGATACTTTAAATAATTTTCATTTGATATGTGATAAGTAGATTCAATAATTGGTATTTGCAAAAGGATTATTATCTACTCTGTCGTTCTGCTTCTATGTTGTAAATAGACTTCATTGGAATAATGCATTTTAATTTGTTTTTCATATTTCTATTCTTAGTTATTTCTATTTGTTCTTTTATTTGTTAGATTACGTTGATTAGTAAATAACGTGACTTTCGAGTTGATTGTAAATAAAATTGACATATTGATCTGAACTAAATTCAATGATCTGAAAGCTATTGCTTTTGACGTTGATGATAGCAAAGTTCAGTAAGTCAAGTATTAGGATTTGTTGGTCACAATACATGGATCTATAATTATTAGTCGAAAGGACTAATAATTAACTGTCATTGGTTTCTTAGTATAGTTTTAGCTTTTGTTGTTTGTTGATCTTGAATTCCAGAAATTGTGTTTAGCATTGAAATCTATTATTAAAAAGTTATTAGATAACTAAAAAAAACTTTGAATTCAATTGCAATTATTAAATGTCTGACAAGGCATATTATTGTCTAGTTATTCTAAATTTATTTTAATTACAATAGTCTGTATCTTTGAAATAATGGAAACTTAATATTTTTTATTCCAATTCTGCTATGGTCTTTAATACCTACCAATATCTCATTGCAATTTCACTTGATGTATGTTATATTTTGTGTAGTTTGTAAAGTGACTTTTCTTTTAATTATTTTTGTAAAAAAATAATTATGCAATAGAAAAAATTTTTATTAAGATAATAGATAATTGTCGTTTGAGACAATTTTATATTATTTTATTGATTTAATTTATATAAATATAAAATATATTGCTTGTATCGTTTTTATTATAATTTCATTCGCCTAAGGATTATTTTCGCATTTTGTGGATTCAAAGATCAAATTGTAAAGATTAAAATATTTTAAATTTGTCAAAATCCATAAAAAAAGAGTTTTTTGAAAATAGTTCTAAATAATTCATTATATATTTTATTTTTCCAAACTTCCCCAATTAATTTTTTATTTGAAAATTGAAAAAAATTTACTCAAATGAGCATTACTAGACAATTATACTTATTTTATCACTTCAGCTTCTATTTGTTAATAATTAATTAATAATTTTCAATTATTTAAAATACAAGAAGCACCCTCTTGGTTCTCACGTAAAAATGTCAATTGTAAAAAAAAAATGGCGTGGGTTGATTTCTCGACAGCGAGAACAGTGCCATCCTGTGGTGAGCATTGGTAGAGCACAGCAGATAAGCGAAATAACGACCCGTGAGAGACATCGAATTAACGTGTAGAGAGTGGTAGAGACAGAAAAGGCAGTAGAGAAAAAAGGTTGGTGATAAAGAAACGGTAGAGGCAAAGTAGGGAAAAAAGAAGAGAATGGGAAACATGGAGAGGAAGAGCGTACAAGATCGGTTGTCATGCAGGCAGAAAGAGAGAGGAGAGATAGGTCGGGCGCCACGGTTTAGCGCCATGGCGCCGGCTATATTACCGCATGGCGTCACTTCGATTAAGCCGTGCAATCTAAATGTAAATATTAGCATACGTAATGACCGGGCATAACGCGCGCGGGAATAAGAATAGATGAGAAGATGTAGCATGGAGGGAGGGTTGGAAGGTCGCAGGGAAGACAGCGAGTGGGAGGAGAGGGGATCATTGCGAACCTTTCCTCTTCCAATATAAGGTTGACCAATCCTCTGGTCGCTACTGGATCTCTCTTAGTTAGCGTTCACCTTTTATCTTTCCTTATATTGCTCTTTATTCTTCGGCATGCTTTATTGTCATTAATTTTGTGTCTGCCTCGACTCCTCCTACTTATTCTTGTTTTGTTCTCTTTGTCAATTATTCATTCGTGGATTACTATCTTATGTACTTTAAATTGTCTCATGAAGGAGCTGATATGTATTTTTTTTATAAGAATGAGGTTTAATGTTGCGCGATTGTTCATTTATTGATCCATAGTTTTAAGAGTAAGAATAGATACGTATATGTATTTAAAAGCGGTTCAAATGGGAACGTAATTATACCAGATTCCAAGCAGGTCAACCTCTACGCATAAAAATCCCTAGAATGTTTACGTCTATAGGATAGACTTTACCCGTTACTTATGCGAAAAGAAAATTGTATATTCGAAACTTTGAGTACACTAGCTTTCTCGTTATATTTGTAGAATGATTTATTTTATAGTGTAACTTTATTTATATTTTCTTATAATATGGATTTAAATCAATAATAATTTTTTTTTCTTTTTTTTTTAATTAACTTTAATTAGTATGTTAAATATAGGCAGCAATGAAAATAATGAAAATAAATACGGCATCATATTGTAATAAACAATGCTATATATATATTATATATTGCTATATATATATATTATATATATATTATATAATGCTATATATATATATATATATTGTATATTATATATAATGCTATATATATATATATTATATATTATATATAATGCTATAATTATATATTATATATTACTTACATATATGCATATATAGCATAAGAGCAAATTGATATAGAGAAATTTGTCGGCTATTTTATTTGACATGATAATTATATATTCGATATTAAGACAAAAATTTATTATATTCAATAACTTAGCCGCATTTGCTTTCTATTTACAAGATCTTTACATAAGTATAATAACATTTAGCAAATCAAAATATCGAAAATTAAAAAATCAAATTACATGATAAATATGATTTTAGCTGGTACATATATCAAGAATAATATTTATGAATTTTTATTATCTTAGATGCAATTTATGTTTGTTATTACGATATTTAAATTTATGTTAACAACATGAATGAATCAATTAAATGTAAAAATGTAAGATTGTAAATTCGAGTTTGATTTCTCTAGATTTTGATCATATAGTTTTATTTTATTTATTTTTTTAATTTTTCGGTAATTCAACTCGAATTTATCTTTCCAGTCATCTAATATGGTATCCTGAAAAACAAGATTTAAAAAAGTTATCTTTTTGGTTTAAAATTCAATAGCTATCTCATTATAACAAATTTCTATAAAATAAGAATCATTTAAGAAAATGAATTTGTATAATTACATTATTTATGCTTATTCATAAAAAATGGTACAGGAATTAAAAATTGCGGTGTTGACAAGCACAGATTTATTTAAACTAGTATTCCTAGAACAGATAAGAACGCTATTTAAAAATGATATAAGTATGTACAATTATTGACTATTTAAAAAAAATTCTCTAGATTTTTTAATTTTTAATTAGATTACATAAATGCAATTATAATTGCAGTAATTATAGAATATTTTTATAAATTGAAATGATATATTAACGCGATGACCGATGACACTAACAATGACAACAGTACCGCATGATTATCCAATATATTTATCTATTTATATATATTTTTATATATTTATATATATTTTTTAAATTATTTTATATTTATATTTTTTTATTTTTTAAATATTTAAATTATTATATTTTTCTACAAATATGATAATTATTAATTCAAGATTTATTTGATGTAGTATACATTATAATTTTTTTAGTTGGTATACTTTTAATTTTTTAAATTATTCATAAAACTTATTCATAGAAAAACTTTCGATTAATTATTAAATTGAATTCTGTTTTTATTCGCAGCACAATACACGACTTATTTTTCAATTTTGTATAAGCACAATATAACAGGTGAATCACCATATTTAATATCTATCCATAGCGAGTATGGATATTTTACAGATGTTTTAAAATAAATATTTCAGCCAAACGTGAAATAAAATATATAATAATCTTTAGGCAATCAAAATTATAATGATCGAAATTAATTTTCATCTCATACATATTATATATATTATGAAGAAAATCTTAAAGATCTTCTTCAAATTCATGTAAAAATAGATTTTCAACAAGCTCAGAAGGATAAACTTCAATGATATAATATTAAATATCTGGAATATATGGAATATATGGAAATTAATTTGAGAATTATATGTAAAAAAAATATTATTTAAAATCATACTTTCGACAACATATTAAAAAATTATTGAATTTATTTTATATCAAATACTAGTTATAATCTTTAATGACTAATGAAAAGTTATACTTGAAATCATTCATATTAATACGAAATTATCCTTTTACTATAAAATAAATTTCATTAATATTATATTATTTTATTCATAATGATATTTATAATGGCAAAAAAATATATATATATATATATATAAATAGTTTTTTAACTCACTGTATTTTCTTCGAGTCAAGAATATTACCAATATATACTATATATATAGAAATTTTCTATGTCCATTTCTCGCGTGTTCTCCGTCTTGTGTTATTATTGTCGTGTCCGCATCGTTGTCTGACAGGCTTGTTGCCCCCTGCTGATGGAAGGTGAAGTCGCTTACAGTTACTAATACAAGATCGTCTCCTTTTACATCTCGTGAAAAGAAACTGTGACCTGTGGGCCTGTCGATTGGGCCTGTCATATCGATTCTTATTGATCTAAAGGATGAACAACAATATATCTTAAATATTGATATTCATTTACTTGTTGAATCTTTTACGTCGTTCATAGAAAAAGTCGGAATATTAAAATGTGATCGTGATTAACATAGCATCAATAATAGTACGATTCTGATTCTAATTCTAATCAAGAAGATGTAGTGAAACATCTAAAAATATATTGAAACTCAAGAGTTTGCACTGGAAAGGAATGTAGGTCTAATTGGTTGGAACGTTGTGTCTTACTCTTACTTAAAATGACCTTGTCACACATATTTTCCCTATTGGCAGAAAATATCACATTAGTTCGATGCGTAGTAAAAAGACGGAATAAGTCTGAAACTAAATAAAATATAGTGATAATGAGTAAGTAATAAAGATAAAGAGGCGGAACGAGCAAAAAATCTTTCTTGTCGAATGCAAGCTCTACATAATATTTATTGTTTTGATTTTAATCCATAAATGTAATTTATAATTTCTTGAGATTGCCATTTAAAACGCATAATGAGCGACATCTAGCGTGCAAAACGTATATTATATTTACATACGTTGCAAGGCAAAGGTCAATGACCGATTGGCTGCAAGTGATTATCTTCAAAATTCCTTTACTGGTTTTTTAATTTTGTTTCTCTTTTATACTATCGTCATGCATTATTGTAGAATTTCAGATAAATATTCTCGAAGGTTGTAAACTAATGAAAAAAAGCGAAGTTATTATAAACAATGTTTTAGAGAATATGAAAACAACGGTTGGTTAGGCGAGTTCAGTGATTTTGGCGCTGTTTTCACGCGCATGCTTAATCCTGAATAACGATCGACCTTCGGTCAAACGGCACCACGTGTCAAGTGTCAATTCTCGCATGAATGCTATTAAATTGGCCGTAGCGCTCTTTCTAGTCACGTTCAGCTGCCGTAAAATCTGAAATCTACACACCTTGGTTTTACAAAAAAATAACCTATTATTTTTCGCAACAGTGTTTGTGCGTTAAATAACGTTAAATGTTTTTTAAAATAAAATATAAAGTTAGTTTTATTATATATATAGGAATAAAATAATCATATATTAAATTAATTTGTAGCGTAGTTTACTATTAAACACTTCATATTTTCTCGGACGTTATAGATTGTTTTCGATCATATTTTGTTAATCAAAGACCATACAATTTTTTTGAAAGGAACATATTCATTACGTATTCAATATAATTTTCGTTAATATCATACACAAAATTTGTGATGACTTCAATTCAATAATATCTTTTTAATGTAATTTATGACTACGACAACCTATTATGTAATAATTTTATATTAATCATGCATAACATAATAATATATCATGTTAGTTTTTTATAGTTTTTTTTTTTATAAAAGATTGCACTTAATTTAAATTTGTAATTTAAATCTTGATATATAATGAAGGATTATGTAATAACATTTAATCTTCTCTGTGTATATTAAAAAAAAACATCAATTATAATGATGATAATAAATTAAAATTTATAAAAAATATTAATTATATCAATTCCATATCTTAAAATTCTATAAGAATAGAAGAAAGGATACTGCATATAATTGCAAAGAGAAAGAGAAATTAGAAATAAAACTAGAAAGAAACTAATAGGAAAATCTGTAGTTATAGAATTCCGCGAAGCAAATATCCATAAATCTACAGGTTAAGTGAGTTATATATAGAAATGAAAACGGATAGAAAGGTGAAATGTGTCGTGATATTCCACAGCTATTAATGATGGTCACTGTCACATTTATTATATTAATTAACGCATCCGTATGATTGGATCAACACAATATATGCAACACAATATTGAAAAGTAATATTCAAAAAATAATTGGCACTAATCACTTTTTTTTGTATCCCGTGCTATTCTTTATATTTTTGAATGAGAAGATTCACTCTCTCTCTTCTTTTGTATCTATATTTTTTTCTCCTTTCTATTTTCTTTTATTCAATTTCTTTCTTTTTCTATTCATCATTTTCTACATTCACCGTTTTTCATCTACTATTTTCATTGAATTTTGAATCACTCGGTATAATTATTATAGATACGCCATGATGCATGCACACTTTGATTTCACGATCGCGATTTGACAATTTGAAACACGTATGTATCTATTATTTTTGTTGGCAATACATAAAAGACAAAAAAAGAAAAGTATATTTGTATTGCTTCTTCTGATCACGATATATGATTTTAACAGTAAGAGAGAGATTCAATATAAGTATACAAATGTTACATCACTAACGTATAAGGCTTCGTGTATATATCAATGCTTCTTACGAAATGAACTTTAATGAGAAGTTTCTCGCTAGAGGTCTCGAAGTTTCGAGGACAGTAGCGCGCATGCGGCTATTTCATGAGGTAATAAAACATCCTTTTTACGAAGCCCACTTTTGTGTTTGTTTACTGATTATATATAAGTGAAAAAACTGAATATTGATTTTTTTAATTTTTAAAAAGAATTAGAAAAAAAAGCCAATAAAAAAATAAAATAGAAATTTAAATAAATTTGATCATCTATGTTCCAGGTACTGATATAGTGCAAGATGTGCCCGTACAATTAACCTCCGAGGAAGAGGAACGAAGTCTAAAACGTAACTGTTTCCAACAGTATATTCAATCAATCCATTTTTATTAAAATATAATTTTTTCATCTCATATATTTTTATATTATTTTAGATTTTGGGACGCTTTTAACGGGTAAAACATCTCAAGTATTGCGTCGCGATGAGCCCAATCTAACATCAATGTACAACAGTGCTTACAACTATCTTGCAACAGGTCGTTTTACATTTCATCGCAAAAATCTCTATTATTCCTTCTATTTATCAACATCAACCCCTCGTCCGCGAAGCATACAATTTATCGATGGATCAGGAAGCATTTTAGAAGAACAAACAATCGATCCCATTGGTGGAGTGTATCAAAATGCAACAGGTAAATTATGTGGAGTGTGGAGAAGGGTTCCACGAGATTATCGGAAGTTACTTCGTGATGAACGTTTACACGTGTCCTTTATTTGGGAACCATCGGCCACCTTGATAGGACAATTGTCTCGTTATCGTGCCTTATCCACGGAACAGTATTCTTCTTTGTTGGAACCAACGATGGGAGTGGATCGTTCATTGATGTCTGGTGCAGGAGCCACCGCTATAGTCTCAGCATCATCGGCATCAGCGCCATTTATCCACGTATCCTTGGTATTTAATGGTGTTTTTTTACCTAATGATGTTTCCGAAGTTCCATTGATAGTACAACTAGAACATATGGAGAAGGACTACGTGGTTCTACGCGAAGAAATTATAGTAAAGAAACCTTCGAACGAATTAAACTTCGGGGAGGTTCGAAATGCCCTATCAGGGACGGATCTTCGTTTACTGACTCGAGGCAAACTCTCCATTAGCATAATGTCTAAAAGAGACCCTCAAGCTCTACGATTGGCTGGCATAGTAGGTCCACGTACCAATTGCGAAATGTATCAGACTTTGCTTCTCTCAGAAACACCTTCGGCCGCTTCTGGTTTGGCATGGGCATTTTTGGATCATGCTGGTTCATTGCGTTATGGTGTTCAATTAATAGGATTGGAAGAAGAAAGTCCTTTGGTAACTTTGGTAGATGAAGGAGGCAAACGTCGTACCGAGTTGGAAGATTTAACACCTTCTCTCGTCAATGATCTAGCTAATGGATCCGTGGAACGTCCAGGGCCACGATTTCTCGAATCTTTATTCAACGGAGAACTCGCAGTTGTTGCTGCTTCACACATTGGTTCCATGTTGCGCGGCCGATTACTACAAAGACCAGTAGCCGATGCCAGAGATACTGCTGCACCTTTTCTGCTTAGGAGACTGTTCCAAGAACCTGTACACCCTGGTCCAGTTGGTTTGGTGTGGACAGCAGTAGATTTAGACTGTTCCCTTCATTATGAACTTGAAATTGCTGGCTTCCCTCAAACATCTACCAATAATCATGAATCACGTACGTTCCGACTTTATTTAGAAACCATGCCTTTATTGGCTCAAGGAGCACCTGTAGCTAGAAGATTATTGGAAGAATTTACTGGATACATCTTAGAAGGTTCTGTCACTGGTCTCTCACCAGTAGAATTATATAGAATCGAATCTGGTATTTGTTTCTTGGAAGTGACGGATAAACAGGCTGAAAGGATTCTGAAAGCTCCATTCAAGGCTAGAGCGCCGCTCAGCTGTCTTCCTCACTATGCAGATAATGATGTCGCCTCAGTGGTCGCGTACAACCTTCAACCACCCCGATCAGACATCGAAACTGGCGCTTGTTTTCATGAGACTAGATTCTATGAAGAAGGTACTCAATGGACTTCCAGTACAGATCCGTGCTCCATGTGTCATTGTTACCGTGGATTAGCACAATGCGATCCAGTACCTTGTCCAGCCCTCACGTGTGCCCAGAGTAAGCAATTAAAACCTGCTCCTGGTCACTGTTGTCCAATTTGTTCAGGTATGCCATACATTATTTTTATATTTTTCTGTTTCCTTTTTTTCTAAGATGTTAGAAAATACAGCAAGTTTTCATTAACTAATTGTTATTAATTCCAATAATTCATGGAATTATAAACTTTTAATATTAGGAATTTATAATAAACAAACAATAAATGTCAATAAATTACAATTATAATAATATATATTATAATATATATTAATGAATAAGATGTACATATATATACATCTTTTAGAATTATATATTTCTTTCATTTTTTTATATTTATTGAAAAGATTATTATATCTTCTGGATCTGTTAATTATTAAAAAACAGAATTTTCATAATCCTGAATAACTTGTAAACGCCAGATTAATTATTTTTGTTTGTAGAGAATTAAAGAAATAACCGTGGTTGATATTCAATCCGATTATCTGTGATATGTTCCGTGAAAATGATCATGTAAAATTAGTTATGCCTGTTAATTTAAATTACAGGATCGCTCAATAATCATGATACAAGACGAATTATTTTACAGCTTGTCCGATTTCATTTGTCATTACTCAAGTGAATGTTGAAAGCTTTGTTTTATAGAAATATGGATTGGTAATATTCAATATACAATTAGTTATAAATCAATTTATAATATATTCTAAAAAAAAAGATTTTTATTGGTATAGATTTATTAAATAAGTATACTGCTTGTATAATTATACAAGCAGTCTAAATTATTATTCATATAACATTATTATTTATTTATGAGTTCATTATTAATATAGAGTTTATTATTTTATATTTAGATACTTTTACTTAGTGTTAAGATTAATAGATAAAATATATGTCCATTATTTTATTATTCTAAATGTGATTTAATTGCATTCTTTACATTATTTTTGAACTATATGTATATATATATATTATAGAATTTTTGTTTATTATAATTGTCCATTATTGTCCCATCAGTTCTTGATATATATGTATTGTATTCTCGAACTATCATTAATTCTGATTCATTTTCGATGTGTATATATAATATATATATTTATTATATATAATATATAATATTTTACTTATATGACTAATATGATATCTTATTTATTTCTCTTCCAAGTTCTTGAAATTAGTTGCCCAATCTAATAGTTGTCCAACTAAAAATAGCTTCTATCAATAACAAATATTTAATCTTAACAACAAAAATTTCTATTTAAAAATATATATCTACATGTTGTTTTGAAGAATTTCATCTATTGATTAAGAATGATTTTTCTATGAAAATTTGGATATAATTTATACATAGGTCCAGGGATTAATATGAATGGGACGGGAAAAAATGTCAGCTCCATAATAAGAGGTTGCACACTGGCTGGCCAATTTCATCTACCAGGAGCATCATGGCATCCTTATTTACCACCAGTGGGATTTGATACTTGTGCAGTTTGCACATGTGACGTAAGTTTTTAAAAATTACTTTATCTATGGTTTTCTTTTCATTATAAATGGTATGAATTTAATTGATTGTTGAAATTTAACAATGGATTTCTCTTCGTATTTCTCCATCATTCAGTTATTTCTTTAAAATAGCGAAGTGATCCTGATTATCAATAGACTATGGAAAAAGTATTTTGATTTTCAATAAATTTTTCGAATTTAATTGAAGCAAAAAATGAATAAAAAATAATCTTTTTAATAATATTCACGTGCTTATATTTGCCATTAAAAGAATATAATTCATTTAAACAAATTCCAAATGTTTTTTTCAAATTAATAAGCTACCAGTTTTTTCCCAGTTACAATAAGCTGTGACGTAAATGTTCTTTAACTTTAGATCGAATTTCGAAACATGTTGGAATTTAAATGGTCCTGTGATGCGGAACAAGAGAACTGAAACGCGCAAGGCACGAAAGTTTCGAGGCACGGTTCGAATTCCATAGGCGACTGACTTTTTCCAGATTCTTTGTTTACCTCTTTACCATACGTTCACTCTTGCAGCCGCCGGCCAGTTTCGTAACGATTCCAGCATCAGTGTCGATTCTGCGACATATGTTATAATGCTCTTGTAGGTAATGCTTATAAAAGACCCGCAATGAAAAATTTAACCAAACACTGGGGCATACTTATACATGCGCGCTCATTCGTACGCGCATGCGCGCGAGTTCGTTGCGCCAGAAGAATGCGGTTGCTCTCTGCCGAGTCATGAAAAGGAGCTTTGCAAACGCGGCAATCGATAATCAGTGACAAGCCTTTCTAAATAGATATTAGAGAATTGTTTGAAGTCATGCCTGAGACACATTACACCAAGTCATGTTCATTATCGAAGATAAGATGGTTTTGATTCGTTGCTTGTCACTTAAATCGTGCTTGACTAAGTCCGTATATGTAATAAGGAGAAATGCCGATGCTGAATAATATATTCGTATTCGTTGACAAATCAAGAAGTTGATATGATAAGTGTTCTATTTGACTTTATCTTGAATATATTTTTCATATCTATTTGGATTTCAATTTATACAATGGAATTTAATCATGAATCATATATATAGAAAGAAAAGCTATGCAGCTATATAGTTCTAAGTTTTTAATCTAACCTCTCTCTATCACAATTAAAAGGTAGTCAAATTTTAATACTTTAGTTCTTTACCTATAAAGAAATGAATTTAATCATATTGTTTATAAAATTAAATATATATATAATTATTAATTAGACGTTAAAGAATGATCAATACTATATAAATCGAAAACTTGTGTGAATAATTTTCACGATGGCCTATTTTTTTTTCAATAGTTAATAAGAAAAGATTCTTTAAATAAATTTATTAATCTAGTTTATAAAAAATAAAAATATATATTTTTTTTAATTTTATTTATATAACAATTAGATGTCTCCTTTTTTTATCTATTTCAAATATTTCTATCAATTAGTATTATTTTAATATTAGATATTTAATTTTAACATTTAATTAATTACAATAATTATTAAAGCTCGATAGATAAATGTCACAGTAATAGCTATTATTATTATATTAATAAAAATATTAATTTTTTTTATGATAATCCCAATTTTGCAGAATAAAAAATCATAAATAATTACGGACATTTTTCCCCTTTTTTTTAATTAATATATATATTTTTATTTATTAAATTAAATTTATATTAAATTAATAATAATCAAAATATTGTGAAATCATATTAAATAGTTTCAATATAAGATTAGCATTAAATTTTAAATTTTTTAATTTAATAATATTCATTTATTTTATAGCCTATCACGCTAGAAGTAAAATGTCCACGAGTACAGTGTCCACCGTTGGATTGTGATGAGAAGATCGCTTTTAGGCCTAGCAAGAAGGCTTGTTGCAGACAATGTCCAATAACAACACCTAGCTCGGCAAACATGGGAAGTGACACAACTCGTTTGCCGCGAGATCAGGCAGCACCATCCACTAAGCGCACTGCGGAGGAAATATTGGCTTCCGGCGGCTGCAAGAATCCCCTTGGTAATCCCTATGAAAATGGAATGGAGTGGCATCCACGAGTTCACTCACATGGAGAAATGAAATGTGTCAAATGCAGATGTAAGGTGAGAATTATTGATCAATAATTTTGTTTCTTTTTTTAAATTTATAAATTTGTCCATATGGTTGCTTTATATATTGGAATTGGACTTAATTGATTTTGAAAAAATTGTAAATTATAAAGATTTTGAAAATGGCATTTTTTTTCTTTTATAAAGTTAAAATATTTCGTATAAGATCAGATTAATTCTTAAAAACTTTAGACTTTATAATATTGTAGACTTAAATCAATACATTTTGAATAACTCAAACAAACATAAAGTTATTATTTATAAAACATAATGATATTAAAATGAATGAAAATTTTTTGTAATCTGTCTATTGGCATTTTTTTTTTTTTATGTGCAGTAAAAATGAGATTACACTAATGTATGAAAACACAGACGTTCCCAGATCATAAAGGTTTTGCGGCTACCAATTGTCCATCAATTGGTCATTATTTGAGGCGGATAGAATGCGTTTCGTTTTGATCAGTAGTGGCGCTCGTGCGAATTTCAAGATTATGATCACACATTGCGGTAGAGAATGATCGTTCTAACCGCGATCACCAGAGCATCCATGCAATTTGTAGCCGCAGCGAGATTAGAATGATACGTGAATGCATGAATTGAATTTATGTATAGAATAATTTATGCAACGCCAAGATATAAAAGATATAAAAGATGTAGGTTAAATTAATGTTATGAAAATTTATATACATATATATGTATACATGTATATTGTATATATATATATATATATATATATATATTTAATATTTTTTGTTTAAAATATTTTTCATATTTCATATAGGTATCTCTAATTTTTTAATATATACATACATATATATATTACATTGTGAATATAATTGTGATTTAGTTCAATTGTAGATAAAAATAAATAAATATTAAAAAATTAGAGATACCAATATGAAATATGAAAAATATTTTAAACAAAAAATATTAAATAAAAAATATAAAAATCATCTTATAAAGCAAAATCATTATATATGTTGCAAAGTTGCATTATTAATAATATATTAATATTTTGGTACCATATATGTAAATATAAAATAACTCCTCTTATGTATAATGTTGAAAACTAGTTGTACAAGATCGTCATGCTATTTTACTCAGTGAGTGTGACAATTTCCGGTTTACACGATCGCTCTTAACCTCTCATCAGCCGCATTCCACTCGTGTTTAAAGGTGACCAACACGATCGAGAAGACACAACTTTACTACTTTATCATCAGCATGAATCGAATAATATATATTATTTATTAAATTACAAGTTATTTGTGTATTATTTCAATAGAATATTAGATTTCTTAAAATTAGATTTCTTAATTTTATTAATTGATATATATAAGCATTTAATATTTAAGGGAATATTTTTTCAACACTTTATATATACAAAAGAATGTTGAAAAGATATTCTCATAAAATATATATTTGAATAAAATGCTTCAATATTTTTGATCTTATTTTAGTATTTGTTTAGTCTTCGTACAACAATATATGTTCTATAATTTGGAATAAAAATTAATTAATATCATATAAAATTATAATATTAATGATACTTACATTAAAATATTCAGTAGTAATGATTATTTGCATTTTCTTTATAATTTTAATTCTATTAATAATGCTTTATTTTATCTATAGAAAAACTTATCTTTCTGTGCATTATCATATAGTTTCTCATAGTTTTATAATGATAATTGATAACAATTTTTATTCATATTGCTTCCAAAATAAAAGTTCGGTATATTCTAAATTAAATAGCAAATTTTAAAATCTAAAATTTTTTTAAAAATTTTACTTTTGGTATGCTTGATATATTTTTCTTTTATTTTTTTTTTTTTTATAATTTTGGAAAAATTTTTTAAAATTTAAAGTGTATTATTTATATTAAAAAATTTTTAACATATTCTAGTGAACGTTACTGATCATTTCAAGTAAGAAATAAGAAATTCTTATGGACATTTTCGTTCTCATTTCATTACTCATGCGAAGGTCTCATCGAAAAAACAGTTTGCCTTATTTTTACGTACAGCCTCATAGTATATACTCGTTAGAAGTTCTTCGATGGCAGCCTCGTTGCGATATCCAGACACGGTCACGACCAGAGTCCTTTAAGGAGAAAACCTTTAACCGGACTTGTTCGCCTGGACCGACCATTAAGAGGGTCCATCCATTACGATGAAAATGGAACGTGACTACGGATCGCGCGAGCAGACCAGCATTACATGAAGAAAAAGTTTCGTGTCTCTCCGATTCCGAGATTACTGTCGAGATACTCTATGTTTCGTTAAATTGTACTGTACATCTATCTTAATCATCCTTCTTAATGTGATTTAAACATAATTTTTTAATAATAATTTTTTAACAAGTGAACAAAATTTTATTTAAGAACGTTTTTGATATATTTACTTTTGTATTCGGCTTGTTTCTCTATAATGTATTTTAATTTATAATTTTTATAATAAGTACAATAATTAATTTATAATTATTTACACAAAATTAATTTATTAAACAATATAATATTCTTACAGAGAGCACAGAATAACACATCCGTTCTGTTCCGTGTCCGGAATACGACTGCGTTAAATCGAAATATTTTGAATTTGAATAACACTCGGTGTTGTGATTTCTATATCGCAGTTTATATTAATCATAACATACATACAATTTATATTAATGATAACACATTACATAGTTTTCTATATAATATATTATAAATAATATATAAATAATATATTATTGTAAATAATATATAATATATATTATATTATATTATATAAAATATAATATATACATATGTAAATGTTACATATACATATGTTTATATATTAATAATCATTTTATATAGTTTTATATATAATATATTATTATAAATAATATATAATATATATTATATTATATAAAATATAATATATATACATGTAAATGTTACATATACATATGTTTATATATTAATAATCATTTTATATAGTTTTCTATATAATATATTATAAATAATACATAAATAATATATTATTGTATATATTATAATAATATATTATTAATATATTATTAATATATCAACACAGAAATGAAATAAGCGACATTTGCGACGCAATAAAATGATAAAATACAATACAAAATACAAAAATCTAGAATGGAAAATAATGTTGAATCTAATGCTAGTTTTGTCATGTTTTCTGAATGTTTATAGAATGGTGAGGTCAGATGCGACAGAAAACGATGTCCACGAGCCCTTTGCAATACGATCGCACATCAAATGAAACGCGGCGAATACGTAGCGGATGGCGACGATTGTTGCACGGTCCAGTGCCGACGAGCGAGGCGTCATCATCGTAACAATCATCATTCAGCCCGGCATTCCGTGACACCACGTGAACTCAGCTGAGTAGTTTCAACTGTTACGAAGCTTTCTTCGAATAGTGATCTGGTCTAAGGGAACGCTTCTGGACATTGTTTCTCTTTATAATCATTAAATTCATGGCTTAAGTTATGCCATTGTCATCATATTTTTAATTCCAAAACAACTTCAGAGCAATTACCAGAAATTACGAGAAAATGATGGGAGTCAATTGGTAACGCAAAATTCTAAATTCAAATAGCAAAACTTAGAGATTGTTTTTGATGCCTGAAGTATCATTAATAAATAAATTCAGAAAATATATATTTAAAAATATTACCTTTTCTAGAATTTTTGATTTAAGATGATGTAAAATTATTATTAAGTTAAAGAATAGAAAAATGAACTAAGATTAAATTTACATAATAAGAAAAATGAACTAAGATTAAATTTACATAATAAGAAAAATGAATTAAACGAAACCATTTAAATGGAATATGAAACATAGAGGCACTTAGATTAGTATATTAAAATTGATCGATTTTGAATAAATGGTATACAAATTTTATATTATAGTTTAATTATTTGATAAAATTAACGTTAAATAATCATGTTGATAAAGTATTTTGAAAGAAAATGAAGAATATAAACGATGCTGTGCATCATATTTATCTAACACTAAGTTATCGTTAAAAGAAAGAATCTTTGAAAAAACATTTAATATTGGAATACTTTATTCAGGAACTATAAATTGCCGGAAAATGATAATCAACGAAACAAAAAGATTCATCTTTGGAGTAATCGGCAGTTATCAGAGGAAGTTACAATAATAATAATATCAATAACAATATAACAGAGGAAGGAACGTGGATCGTTCTCATCAAGCATTATTCTTACTTATATTCCTGTCGCTTGCTCGATTATTTGCTACAGAGTCCCTTACAGCACCTACTACCAGACATTTATTAATCAATTGTCTCTCATCAACGGATAAACGGACCGGAAGTCAACTGCTCTCTATCTTCGAGTGACCCTTTATATACATACATACATGCATTATTATTATATGCGTTTACTTACACATAAATATATAAACATATATTGTATGGTACGGCTATATTGAAAGAAAAAAGAACAAGAGAAAAAATTAGACAAAGAAAGAGGCAAACTTGGAGAGAATTTAAAATCGTGACGGTAAATGCAGAACCCTATCGTACCCATCAACCTCACCGAGTTACCCAGCAACCAAAGAAGACTGAAGAACCTCCAATGGGTGGCATCAGTTGTCATTAAAATGTGGAAACATGCTAAGATTTTTATCATACTTTATTAACTCCATACAAATTATTACTATTACGAATTACTATTATTACTAATAGTAATATTACTATTATTAAAATATTAATGTCGATATAACATCATTAATGTTATAGATCATTATTCATTTTCATTAATTTTATATCACCACTGTTCATCATTGTTCATTTTCATCGTTTATAATTCATTACGTTCATCATCATTAAAAATTTGTTTTTATTGGAATTTTGATTATTAATATTATTAAAATTATTATTATAATATTTCTATTATTATTTTTAATAATATAAATAATATCGCTTTTGTTAAATATTCATCATTATTATCAACATTATATTACTAATCACGATTGTTATTGTTAATATCATTATTGTAATAGCCTATAATAATAATCTCATCGAAATAGCTTTTTCGTAACTTATAAGTTTATTTATTATTAGATTCTCTAAATTATTCGATGGCGAATAAGTCATAAATAATTCTAAATTTACTTCAAACGATAATTCAAAAAATGAATTGTAGCTTCAACCTCGATGCAAATTCTTTGCCCGTATCACGAAGAATTTGGAAAATCGATGTTCAGCAAAAATTATATATTAAATTAGAATAATACTGAATCGCCATTTTTAAATATAGAAGGATGTGTGTCATTAAGGATGAATGAATAGTATGTCAGTTTTTTATGCGTATGATAATTGATGAAAGTTAAATAATAGTTAATAATAAAAAATAAACAAAAAGAATTTCGTAATGAACGATATGAAGAAAAAAGTATTTGTAAAAATTGTATAAGAGTTCTAGCTTATAATTTTCGCGATATTGATCAATTTTTGTTAAATTTGACAATTTACATAAACTCATTTTTTCTTTATCTTATTATTCAAATGTGAATACTAAAAATATAAAAAGAATATATGTATATGATTAATTTTATAATATGTGAATGATTTATCGTTTGAATGAAAAATTCGTATACTGAAAATCAATGGAAATGAACATTCAATGAATACAATGAAAAATATAGTGAAGTCGAAAAATTCGAATATTAATTGATTGAAATTCATTCTAACTGGATATTTTTAATTTTTTCGAAATATTTAGCTTCCGAATAACTTTATTATAAAATTAACTTTTAATTTTAATCATGATTCATTGTTCTTCTGTGCATTTCTTTATGATCTAGTCTAAGTATTTGGAGTGTCCATTTGGACAAGCTTGCGAATAACGAGCGGTGATCCGATCGTTCATGAAATATGAGAACAAAAAAAGGATAGCGGTTTTATGTATAGCCGCGGCAGCTGGTAAGCTTGCTTAACACTTTTTGATGCAGCACTTTTTCCAATAGAGTGTGAATGTAAATTACATGGTCAACAGGTTCAAAGCAATGCACTAAAACGAGCAACCTGTATCATATTGAGAGTTTCATTTAATGATTATTGTGATTTTTAATAAAATAATTTTTTTATATTTATTTATAATTGTTAAATATTTAAAAAGCAAGCGTAATTGATTATAAGAAATAAATTTTTAATATCATTATATAATAAACAAATATTTTATTATTATAAATTTTGTCCAAGCTTTGCTAGTATGTTATACAATTTCTTCCAATGTTTCCATAAAGACAATGCAACTCTCATTGTTACTTGTTACTTGGATATTTTGTAAAAATCTTAACAGCGATCAATTGTTAATTTTTTTGTACATAAGCGAATATGTAACGAGAATTACGAATTATCAATATTGCGATTATTATTCTTATTATTGATATCATTGATAGTATTTATAAATACATATATATCGTATCTCATCTGATTCGTAGATATAGATGATGCTTATTATTATTATTAACATTATTTTATTCTATTTTATTATTATTATTATTATTATTATTATTATTATTATTATTATTATTGTCATTATATATAAATCTTATTTTCATGTTTATTTAAAATCATCTCTCGTTTTACAAGCATGTTATATAAATATAGCTCTTGCTATTTAGATAAATATTTTTAAATATTAATATAATATAAGACACAATACTGTATCGTCCTGAAAATGCATTAAGCTCGCGTTTTTTCTTCTTAGTTTACTAATTGATTGAAACATTGTTGCTAATTTCTTTTATCTAATATATACAATTCGACTGTACGAAAATTAAGATAAAAATTATCGTGAAAACCAGGATATAATCGAGATACACATATTGAATGATTATGCTCCATTCATTATAATCATTAAAATTAATAAATCGAATAAATGATAAGATATAATATTTGAATATTGAATATATATGTCTATATATTTATATATATATTTTTTAAATGAATATCATGCAACGATATCAATTTGTAAATTATTATGTAAATTTTTATGTAAGAATTACGGTGTCAACGAGTTTTTATAGTGCCTTAAAAAGTTTAATTAACAATCGAAGCGATCAGTACGAATCTGTCAAAGACAGTATTCAGACAATATATATTATATTATGAAAAATTATGATTAAATATGAAATGTTATTTATAAAAATAATAAAATATTATTTTTTGAAATTTCTATACAAAATATACGAGATTGTAATGAAATTGTTCAATGTTAATATGATAGAATCTTGTTAATCTTGTATATTGGACAAGAAAAATGGTGATATTTTGTACTATGCCAAAACGGTTGTCAATTAAATTGTAATTAATCATTAATTTGCTAAAAGCATATATTATTTCGAGTAGCTTGTTATAATTATATTACACGTAAGTGACTGTAATAAATGTAATGTGTTATTCATGGAATAATAAGTCGGAAAGCGCGTACATATGTGTGTATGTTGTGTATGATGTATAAAAGAGAGAGAGAGAGAGAGAGAGAGGAAGAAAGGAAAAGGAAAAGAAAAAACAACTGCAAGAATGAAAGTGTATAACTAATTGTTTATATTGCTATTTAATGCAATAAAACATATAAATGAACATAAGCAAATTAATAATTAGAAGTAATTGTATGCCGATTTCAGTATTTCCATTAATAAACAAATACACTTGAGTCTCATTTGTGTGTTTGTTGTATTGGTTGAAACATGTGACGCCGCAGATTTTATTTCTTAATATTAGATGTTGATAAAACATTATATGCCTATTATACTGTACCTATAAGACATCGGCGAAGATTATGAGAAATATAAAATTTGCTATGATATAACAAATTCACAATAAACTGATTATTTATGCTCTAATAATGTTTTAATTTAAAATATTAAATTTTTATTTCATTATATAAAAAATAATTCTGATATTGAATATAACATGAAAATATATTGAAAATAAACAAAATTCTGAATATTTGATAGTAAGTATATTGATAAATAAAATATAGATAAAATTATAGACAAAATCTATAGTTCATTTGAAAATATAATATGGCATTCAATTGCTGAAATTAATGATATTTTTTATATTTAATTTTATTTATTATATTATTAATAATATTGAATAATTAAATCATTTTTAGTTTTTCACTAAATAAGTTTTATAAACTATTATATCTATAGCCGGACTATACATATCTATACTTATTATTACTTTATTATATGATATATATTTATACATATATATATTCTATATCTATATTACGTTACACATATCTATAAATATATATATACATGTACATATATATATTGTACTAAATAATGTACTGAAAATTGTATTAAATTGTAATGTATTAAATTTGACAATTCAAGACTATGTAATAGTAATAATGTGCAATTATATAATTATATAATAATATATTAAATATATATAGTAATTCTTAGTTTGATAAATGTGTGATTAGATACTTATATTGTATAATTATAAAAACACTTGATTATAATTTTTCTTGTTCATTTTTTTTTATTTCTTTGAAACCCTCGTCCAAAATATATAAAACAAGATTTATTTTTTTAAATATTGTATTAATTCTTAGTAATCCAATTCATAAATTTCCCAGCAGTTAGATCCAAATCTCTGCCACTTTCAACCTTATATTTAAAGATATCAAATTATATATTACATATGTATAAACCCATAAAAAATATAAATAATTAAAACTTTTATCAAAATAGTAATATGCTAAACATTTATTTTTAAAAAAAAGATGAAATTTTTATAAAAAAAGATGAAAATATTTTTGTTAGAATTTAGACAAAAATAACTTTTAGTTCGCCGAATTCTCAACATCAAATGGCAGCTTTATACAAATAATCGTAGATAATTTATATTATATGAAATTTTCACATAAGATTGAAAATTTCATAATTAAGATTTTTAATATCTTAATCTTTTAAATTTTTAATCTTTCTTAATCTAATAGCTGCAATGAATATTCTATGATATATTCTTGAAGGTTTTTTTCTGCGATTTCTACCAATGTTTCACTCATTTCCAAGAATTATAAAGTCTCAGTAATACGAGGATTTCACTTTCCTTCCAAACAATTTCTTTCCATTATAACAAAGAAAATGTTATAATAAAATTTCCACAAATATTTGTCACTTTATAATAATTGAATGTAAAGATATAATGTTGGTAAATTAATAGTAATAGTAACGAATTATTGATAATAATAGAAAATTAATGTTAAGATATTAAAAATAAGATGCATGGAAAAGTTAATAATAATAAGTGAACATAAATAAGTAAAAAAAGATTTTTTTCCCAGATAACCGATAACAACGTAATAATTCAAAAGGCATCAAATTATCATTCTGTAAGAATTTATCAACGATCCGTAGTTATGAATCACAAAAATACCGAATAGATTGTGCAAGTCATCGTGATGACCTTACGAATTGAATTGATATTCTAGAGAGTGCCGATTTTCACGGTTACTCTATACAGAAGAGTTGCGGTTAAAAAGAAAACCGCAATATCATTACGTACTCTGCTCGTGGATTGAATGAAATAGACGAAAGTATCTTCGGAGAGATATGGAATGCCTTTTGGCTGCCGCGTAAGCTGCATCGACGTCTTAAGAATCCATAAAGAACGGTTCCCCGCGCGCAGTGATACAATGTCAACGATTTAAAAGAGCATCACAACTAAAAGAATTTATTTTATCTTTTTATTTTTTAGTATTTTATAAAATATTAATAATTCTAGTAAAAAAGCTTTCTCATATACATACTTTGATCTTGAAATATGTTATAAAAGACGTAGTTTTACACAATTTTTTTCTATATATATAATCATCACTTTTAGTTTTTGATAGTGATAATGTACATATAAGAACTATCACTTTCTTTTATTAATATATTTAAGCTTCTATTATGATTAAGATCTGTATTTGGATCCGAATAATCGGTTTTGAATCTTCTATTAAATATAATGTTTTTTTTTTATTTAGATTCTAACTATGATTGAAATCTAAAATATAAAAAAGAATTTATTTATATTATATAATTTGAATCAATTGTCGATATCACTTATACAGCAATAAAAATAATAAAATTACACAGATAGAAAATTATATGAATTGAAGATAGATTTCATTTATTATACGAATTTAAATATTATATTTGAATATTTATAAAATAAGAATCTTTAATATTTGATATATTAAATTATATATTGGAAATTATATATTTAATAATTTAAGATTTATATAATTATATCATAATAATATATCATATCATAATAATATATAAAATGATATGAAATTATTCAACAAAATATATATATATATTAATTCTTTTAAATCTAATATATGTGATTTCCATTTTTCTTTATAATTTCGATACCGATGCATATTTCAAACCCTCGTCCAGACCACGTAGAACAAAATCGACTTTTTCGGGGGTGGCGTTAACTCCTAGCAATCCAATCCGCAAAACTTTTCCAACAGTTGGGCCCAAGCCTCTACTAATTTCAACCTTGTATCTAAAAAAATCACACTATATGTAATCACGGATAATCACAAAAAATTTAAAATTAAACGAAAAACATATGACATAAAGGCTTTAAAATAAAATAATATATATTACTTCATAAATGATAAATTGCGTTATTCTATAATCGGCAATTTATTATCCCCAAAGATATCAATAAATAAACGATTGCTTTGAAATTAATCTATCTTGTTCGATATCTAATTCGATATTCTTTTGCTGATATTTTTTCTTTTTTATATTCTTTTTTTTTTTATTTTTGCGTTTACTATTGTAAGTATGATTGATTGCACCATTTTCATTTTATATAGTTTTTTGCTGTTTTATAATTGAATGTTATTAAGTATTTCACTTTTTAAGTCAAAACAAATTAAAGTAATTTCATTATAACTTGAAAAAGAGACTTACTTTTCCATGGCTCGTTGAATAACAATTTTATCATCAACACCAGGTGGCAACTGTATAGATATAACCGTAGATAATTGATATTGTGGAATTTTTACGTAAGATTGAAGACCTCGTAATTCAAGACCCTTTCTTAATCTGACAGCTGCGGCAGCATGTCTGTTCCATAATGCTTGAAGACCCTCTTCTGCGATTTCTGCCAATGCTTCACGAAGACCATAAAGAAGTGTAGCACTCATAGTGTGATGATATACACGATCCTCATTTCCAAAACATTTCCAATAATTTCCAAGAATTGTAAGATCCCAATAAAACGAGAAAGGTTTTATTTTTCTTTCAAACAATTTCTTTCTAACAAAAATCATGAAATTGTTATAAACATTTGTCATTTTCTTTAATAAAATTTTGAAATGCCAATAAATTATTAATAATGAAGAATAAATATTAAGATAAGAGCAAAATGTTAGATATTACACATTAATTGACACAGAAATAATTTAAAAATTATATAGAAGAAAAGAAAAAAAAATGAATATAGATAAAAATAAGTTCTTTCTTGATACATTATGCATAATTAGAAATAACAAATTCGAAATCTATCAGAGTATCATATCAAATAAAAATTTATTAACGATTCACAGTTATGAATCACAGAACTATCGAATAAACCATGCTAACCATTCTGATGATTTGATTTAATTGATATTCTATACCCTTTTTCACATTTATACAGTACAAAAGATTGCGGTTAAAAAGAAAGAAAGGAAACCACGATGTGATTACGTACTCTGCTCGCGGACTAAAGGAAATAGGTGCAAGTCCTGGAGGGGCACCAATGGCTTTTTGGCTGCCCGCGTAAGCTGCATCGATATCCCAAGAATCCATAAAGAATGGCTCGCCACACAATGATGCAACCACATCAACGATAAGCAGAGCATTGTATCTAAAATAATTTATTTTATTCTTTTATCAATCTGTAATAAACAATTGATTTTATAATATAAATTATAAAATATTTATTTAATTTTATCTTTAATGTTTTAAAAAATATTTTATTATATCAATTTAATAAATATATTTTTAATAATTTTTCTTTGAAGAAATTTTGTAATTTTGTTTAAAAAGTGATTTTAAATTATATCTGTTTATAGAGATTTTTTAAATAGAATGCAATTAAAAAATTAAATGCATATTTTATAAACAAATATTCAATTGATAATAATAATAATAATATTTATAAAGAAATTTAAGAAAATACTTATGAATAACTTCACCAAAACCTTCTAATGGTTGTTTCACACCTGTGGAAGATTCAGCTTGGACCATAAAGACTACGACTGGTCTATGCTGTTCTAAAGCAATTTCTAATTCTTTCAATGTGACTCCTTTAGTGCATTCTGTTTCTAATAATTTTACCTATATTTTAAAATATGATTTATATAATTTATATAAAAATTTAAATCATGATATATTTTAATATTTTGAATTTTATTGTTTTTTAAAATTTATTCTTCTTGTATACATTTGCACCAAGTCGATTGGCCATACAAGCTGCTCGTTGACCCCAAATTCCACACTTGACAATGAGTACAGTTTCACCAGGTTCGAGTAAATTTGTTAAACAAGCCTCCATACCTCCATGACCTGATGCACTTAGTACCAAAGTGAGTCTATTATTAGTTTGAAAGATGTATTGAAGGCCTTCCTTAATTTCGTCCATTAACTATAAATAAAAACTATATTAACTGATTCTATTTTTATTCTTTAATAGTGTTATTTAAGCGAGGAAAATGAAATAATCACCATACAAAATTCTGGATGAAGATGCCCAAGAATTTGATTCTGTAGAGATCGAAGAACTCGTTTCGAACAATTAGTCGGTCCAGGACTCATTAAAGTTTTTATCGGCAATTGTAATTTAGTTCGAAGTATTTGAGGCGGTTCCTTATGAACTGCCAATTTGTTCCATTTATAATTCATCATATTAATTGATTTTTCTTTAAATTATTCTAAAAATTAGAAAAAAAATAATACTATAAATAAATAAATAATTTTTAAATTTTTAATAATTATTAAATTTGTTTAAAATCTTTAAAATAACAAATAATTCTGATTAATGCACTAATAATAAATTAATAAGAATATTACCATTATTATTGTAAGAACATTATTTTCAATTACTTCATTTAAATAAAATGTTTATTATATCATTTATAGAAAAATATATATATATAATATACTCATATTTTTTTTTTAATTTAATATATTATTTTCAAAAATATATTTTAATATTATTAAATATTTAATATGCTATAATAAAAAATTATGTAAGACATTTTATCTCAAAAGATATATTTTTTTCATTTTTTATCAAAAAGTAATATTATTATTTTTATATAATATAATTAATATAAAATTTTATATTATTAATATTATAATATTATATATAATATCTAAATTATAAAATATTATGCGAATCTATCACTCACAATTTGCACACCAGTCTTATTAAAGTAAGATTTCCAGTTGATAATTGAACCAGTGCTATGTATAGAAGTTTCTTTATGACTGAAGTGTTTTCTATTTAGATATAACTTACCACAGTTACAGTAAACTTGTGAAATCATGAAATACATTAGACTTCGATAAGCCGGGATAATTTTAGTTTATGTAACAAATCAGTGATGAAAGAAGCATTTCTTTAACATGATATCGTGACGATATTTGTCGTTTGAAACAAGAAATTTTCATTAATTAATTATGCAAAGATCATGCAATTATTGTTTTAATTATTCGAATGTTATAGGCATTATGTAGACAAGTTATTAATTTATATTAAATAGAAGCAATATTAAATAGAAGAAAATAGATAATGAACAAGACATTTCAAGATTTATGAAATTACTAATTGTGGCTGAATTGACATGAGAATACAAAGAAATCTTTTCATTGAAAGACGAAAATAGCTTAATACGTTATTGCGATTTGATAACCTCTTGAATATTATCGTAATTTACATAAATAAGTAAATTATTAATTGAATTATTATTAATGTGAATAAGAAATATTGCTAACTACACTTTTTCATGAATCAATCATAAAATATTATTTGGTTCATAATTGTGATGAAAATAATTTCTTTTATATGTATTCTTGATTGATATGCATTTCATTTATAACCTCACGAACTGTATTAATGTAGCATTTCTTTTAGAAAATATATAGATAGAAGTTAATATTAATATTATTATATTAATATTAATATAATAATACTAATAATCAAGAAAAATTTTTAAATATTTATTTTATTTTGTATAATTCTTTTAAATTTTTAAAAATATACTAATTATAAGATTATGGTTACGATATTATGTAATCAATGTTGGAAATACAAAAAACATAGATACAAAATATATATCATATTTTTACAAATATGATATAAATTCTGAGAAATAAGAATATAAATACTGTTATCATGAGTATTAAAAATACGATTATTTTTTATTTTCAAAGTCTATGTACGTATATATATGATTCCTATTATTATGCTTCTTTATTATCAATACTAAATAATATATATATATATATAAAGAAGAAACAAATTTTCTGTTACTTGAACAAACAAATGAAAATGCAAATTCATCGAGAGTCAAGTTTGGTTACTTGACATTGTCTTCTCCCACTATATTCTACCTAGCTCCCACCCACTTATCTCCTCTTTATCTCTCCATCTCTCTCATATTTCTCCAAGCATCACGTTTTCTTGTTTCGTTCGTTATTTTCTAGTTCTTTTGTTTTTCCTTTATTGGGGTTCCAATATTAAATTGTTGGTAATAAATACCTCTTCATGGACGTAAAATTGACTGAAATGATTGCAAAATTGAGAAGAAAAGACTAAGTGGTAAGAAGAGAATATAATAAATTTCCATCGGTACTTCAAAGCACTGTGATTGGTTTTTCGTTCGTGAGCGACCGAAGAGCAAACGCGCACGAATATGTGTGCGTCCATAAGTTAGCCTGTGTTCGTGATGGGTTCGAGTCTGGTGGTAACCGGACTACAGCATTCATACACGAACGAGAGATCGTGCGTGACTGGTCGGTCGGTTATAGCGGAGAGTGTGCGGTCGCGTCCGCGTGTACGTGCTTCTTAACCTGATCGTACATGTGCCAAGATTAGCGTGTATTGGGCGGGCGTGCACGTGCGCTACTGCAGCCGTATCTGTCTGTGTGCCACGCTCCCGGGCCAGGAGACAACGAAACAATGGAACGTCGTCGTCTCAAGTCCGAATAGCGAGGTGAGCGGGTGGATCGTACTTGGTTTGCTTGCTCGTTTGGCTCATACATCCATGGAACCGTGCATGAACGGGTACCGGGGATTTCTGAAGACGGTTTTCAGGCTCCCAGCTTCGAGAACCGCTTGCTCGTGACTGCCCCCTGGCGTACTTGTTTCTCAGTAGAGGCCAGACCGCGATCAAGGAGGAACGCTTTGTGTGTTGAGTTAGAGAGATTTGTAAAACGAAGAAATGTGTATTCATACTGCGAATGTTCGTTAACGCAAGTGTTTACTATTGTGTTCCGTTAAAAATTTTTTTATAAAAATTTCATCCATCACGATTTTAACATTTAATGATTTCAAGAAGGGTGTTTCTAAAGCGTGCGTGAGAACATCGATCGATACTGGATCATGGTAGCCAAGGAAACGCACGAATCTCCCAGAGCAAGGGTATATATATCTTTCCCTTAAGCAGTGTTTATCGCATGAAACAAATTTCATCATTATAAATCAATATCATTTGTTAATCTTCATTTCTTGAGAAAATATTATAATATGTGTCTCAGATCGTTCTAATTGTCGATTCGTTTTCATCGATGCGGTGGTTGAAGTGCTCGTTGAAAATTTGTCTTGATAGATGACTATCTATTTATACAAAGTCATGAAGTGTATCAGTGTACGTGATTTAAAAAATTTGTGCAATTGATGCGTTCCATTCGATTTGTGTCGTCGCCTCGTATTCTTTCGCTCCTTTCATCTTGAATTCCCTTCAACCATCCTGTACCTATCTTCGCTTTGCAATCTTCTCTTTCTGTTTTTGTCTCTATCTCCGTTTAACTCTCTCTTTGTCGCGCTTTTCTCTGCTCCATTCCTCAGTCGACCAGTCTCTCAAGGGGGCGTGCTTGGCCACATTCAACAATGAGCGAACGCAAAACTATCTAAGCACGAGGCGCGAACGAATGGTTCCCTGTGTTTTCTGCCTGTGTGTGGCCTAATCTTTGCTTCGTGAGTGTGTTTACGTTGTGAAACAGTCGTCGGATCTTTTTTTTGAATTTCAAATGGATTCACAACGGCCAATTACTTAACGAGATGAGGATTGACTTTTAAGCATACCTCTTCTCCGAACGGCAAGTATATTGATGTTATTATGTTATTATTCTTATTTTATTTTATTTCAAGTAGAGTTCTAGTTCTTTCACATCATGTTGTTTTCAGTATATGAAATCATTACTATCTATTAAGCAGTCTAATCGTTTCAATTAACAGTTTAAACGAATAGTCTTATCATCATTAAAAAAGATTATGAAGTTAAAAAAAAATATTCTAATAAATTCTAATAAATTCTTCATTAATTCTGTTATGATATTATTAAATTATTTTGTTATAATATATTAAATTATTTATTTGATTGATAATATTTCTTTCAAATAAATTTTGATTTTTTCAATATATAGATCATATCACGATATGTATATCAATTTTGACTCATAATCATTGAACCTATAGTATCATTTTTAGTATATATAGTATCATTTTCTTATTTCGAAATACCATTACTTATTTTATGTGTATTTGTGTACTGTATTGTGTGTACTATATTTTATAATAGATCGTTACGCGAAATGTTACAAGTTATGATCATGATTATTGAGAGAAATCAATAGATGATTTTTTTAATATAATCTTTAAATAATATTAGAAAATAATTGATTGATATAAAACCAAGTAATTGAGTGCAAATAGTAATCCAAAAATCAGATCTAATCACATTAGATACGCTTTGATTTCGAAAAGCTTCTCTTTCAGCTTAATTCAGGATGAAACGAAATAGAAACGTCGTCGTGACGCGTAAAAAGCTTTCCTTCCTATAGTAAAATTTTAGAAATGCATTTTTTTTGGCTAATCATAATGTGGAAGTCATTACACTTGCGATCAAGTATTTTCAGTATCACTTGAAATTCTCATTAATGATTCTTCATCGATATCATTTTGGATTTTTTAGATCCTATTCAAAAATACATATATATTCATGACGAGGCACGAGACATATCGGAAATAATATTTCAATATGAGAAATCATGTTTTATCGATAATATTATCAATATATCAAAATATGCAAAATATACAATGCAAAATGAAAAATGTATGAAATATATTTATGATATATTACGCAGTATTTTTTATAATATATATATTATATATATGTTAATATATTCTATATATTATACTATACGTATAATATATATTATATATATTTTTATAAAACTTATTTGTAAACAATCTGTATGTAGAAATTCTCATAGTTTATATAAAAAAATTTAAATGAACTTTTGAAATTTCAAATGTATAATATATTATTTGATATGTTATTATTTGACATTCAATTTAAACACTCTATGATGTAATTATTTTAATATAATTATTTTAATCTATTTAAATATTCTATTATTTGTTTTTCTATCGAAGAATTTAGTAAACAATACGAGCAAATTGATAATAATAGTGAATAGGAATAGGGAATATTGAATGAAAATGTTAATATTAGAGGCTTAATATTGTGACTACACGTAAACTTTATCACAAATATTTACAAGATAGGATTCCATTCTTCTGTCGATTCTTATCAAAAGAATAAATTCAACTAAGATCACGGTTTATAATGTAAGGAAACAATAACTGTTTGAAGTTCTTGAAAGTCACAAGAGCAACTATACAGACTACGTAATTAAAGCAAATATAATAATTTATTAAATTGATTAATATAAGACGGATATGGTGAATTTTTTTATAGAATTATTTTATTATATCATTATAATTTTTATTATAAAGGAAATGTTTGAAGAAATATTTTCATATAATTTAATATTTCCGTTAAATTTGACATAAAAAAAGTTAACCTAAATATTCAAATAAGCGTTATATTTGACATTGTAGTCAATATTGTATTGGTCAATGTAGTGAAATATTTTTATTGGTCTGTTATATATTCATATATTTAAATCTAGTAGATTTATACAAATTTTATATTAAAAGATGAATATTCAATACATATTTGAATGTTTCCAATTAATCACATTACCATAACGAAAGTCAATAAATATATTCAATATCGATACATTCGCGTTTAATGAACGAGTTAGAAATATGAAAACGAGAAAAAAGCAATATATAACCACCAGAGAAAAATATTTCAAGGTCTTGCTGTATAGCAATATACTGTTACCTACTATTTTCTTATTTTGTATGCATATAATTTGCCACTTCAATATCAATAATTTCGATCGATATGCTGATTGAAAAAATATTATGAATTCAACCAAATCATTTTACTAAATAATTATTAAGTAAGTGAAAATAGAAATTAATTGTTTATTATATAAGATATATTGTCTATTGCTTCTTCATTTTGATCTCTTCATTCTTATATATATGTATTTTATTATTTGAATATATTTCGCTTAATACAGACATTTTTTGATCTGTTACATTTTTCAAGAGAAATTTCATTCTAGAAATTTTGTGATTGTTATATTTTTTTATTTATTTCATTTTTTATATATATTCATATGAAATATCAAAATAGACAAAAGATTTGCCTTTTTTTGTAATCGTATTATCAATAATCATAAAATTTAAACTCATTCAAATATGATTATTTTTGGTAGATAATTCTCATTTAGATGTATATATATCAAGTAAGATAAATTTATTAAGGAAAGAATATTTCTTGCTTAAGCAAGTATTATCTATAATTTCTTGAATTGGGATTTTTACTGTCTTCTTGAGATCATCATTAATATTGGTAATTTCGAATGTTATTTTTTATTCTTTACATTTTTATAATATAATAAATATTATATCCGTATTTCTTCAAATTGATTATCGTGATAATCGATATCATTCTTCATGATAAACGAACTAATTAATTTCTCTCGTTATTATTGTAAGATGTAAAGAATACATTTATGTGAATGTTGCAAGTAACAACACGTTTATCTTGTTAGCTAAATCTCACACCCAGCAAACATTATTGCAAGTCTTTGCATGTGTTAACGCCGTTAGTAAATTATATACTGTATTTTGAATCTCAATCATCGAGTGCTTATAGCATCACATCTCACACCTGTCTTCTTTTTTTTTCTCTCTACAGGAGACATTGTATACGATCCAACATTTACCATGAGATTGTTTCTTCTTTTAATTTTGCCCCTCGTCTAGATGCACGAATCTGTTTACGAAGAAACTTCTTGAATAACTTTTAAAAATTTCTTCCATTTCTTATTCAAATATTCAAAACTTTTGCTCAATCATGAAGAAGAGAGATTGAACGTTAAAATTTCTTTTTTAAATTGTAAATGCTTTTATTTTCACTTTTATTTCATTTGCATTGAATGTAAGATTAATTCTTTTTTTTTTTCTAATTAGAAAATTTTTAAAGAGTTTTTAGAAATATTTAGATAATTGAATTTTATTCGCAGAAAGCATTATTATTCAATTACATATTTTCCATTGAAAATTGTTTTGAAAATCACACATACGCTCGTTGCATATTTTTGTGAATTATTTTTTAAAGAACAGATATGTAATAGATATGAATAGCAATGTAATAGATATGAATTTTTTTTATGATATTATATTTTGTTTTTATAAATTTACAAACAAATTAAATATTCATAGAATTCGTAAAAAGATGATTTAGCATAAAATCAAAATATAAGACAAATTGAGAATATTTATATACAATATTATGAGGTTATGTTTGTGGTTATAGATTTTAAAAGATATTTAATTTATTATTGGCATCGTTAAATAATCATAATAATTTTGAATTCGTTATTTAATTTCAGAATATTCAAATATATTTTAAAACTTAATTTGAATTAATAAGATAAGGATAAAGATATTGATACATTCTTTTTTCTTTAACCTTCAACTATTACATTGAGGTTATGTTTATAGTTATATGTATAAATTTCACGTGAAAAGATTAAATATGTATATACTTAATATTTATCGTTAGATTATAGACAATTACAATAGTTTTGATTTTTAAATTATTTGATTTTAGGATATTAAAGATCTAGGATATTAAAAAATATACATATGAAATAAGAAATATACATAGCATCTAAAAGTTTAAAATTACTTTTCATTTGTATTTAATATTGCTAATTTTCTTCTATTAATTTACAATTACAATTAACAGTTATAATAATTAAAATTAATTTTATTTACGTTATTTATTTTATAGTAAAATTATTAAATTAATAAAATTTTAATTTGATTTTTTTTAAATTAGTAGGTTTTATGAAATATGTTAGTAATTACACTCAATAAATAATGCAATTCAGCAATTCGTTTACTAAAAATTAGCAATAATGATAGCCGGTATGGTTTTTACAGAAATATCGAAAAACAATGAAAAAGAAGCGCATTAATTAGCCAATAATCGGAACGATGCATCATGGCTTCGTCTTTAGGGGGACCAGGAATGGCGTCGGGTGTTCCGACACCGCGAAGAGTCAACCTGGAGTTTCCACCACCTCCACCTTATCCACCGCCTCACAGTCAGGTATAATTTGCGGTATGCAATGTTATATATTGCAACATTTCTAAATCAATTCAATTTTTAATGAGTTATAAAATATATCTACTGAATTGCTTGAAATATTCTCATGTATAAATATGCATAATTTTATTTCTTTATGTAATACATATAAGATATAATATTGCTATAATTATATTAATTATATTAATTATAGCATNATATAATATAATATAATATATCTAGATGATGCTTATAATATATCTTATGCTCAATGAATTCTAATATATATTTATTTTTATTAAATATTTTATTAATTGATCAATTAATGAAAAACCAAATAAAAATATTTGAATTGATAAATAAATAATTAGATACAAATGACAACATTCTTATAATATTTATATTTCAAGTTTATTTAAGTTTATTCATATTTAAAGTAAAAATTAATATAATAATAAAAAAATATAAATGTAAATGTATAATTATATGTATAATTATAATGTGTAAATAATTTTACTTTACAAAATTTGATTTATCTCTGTGAAAAATATTTTTCATATATAATATTTAATATTACAATCTATTGTATTATACAATCTAATATATAAATAATTAATATAATTATATATTGTATAAATAATTTTAACAATTAAAAATTATTAAAAATATATTTCAAAAATTATATTGTTTAATATTGTAATTTATTATCATAAAAGTATTTTACTAATTATTTATAATACTTTACTAAATATTTATAACATTAGTTGTAACTATTTTTAAAAATAAAATTATGATTAAATAAAAATTATAATAACATTTTTCAAAGATTCCACAATATTTTAGTTAAAAATTAAAAATTTTATTTTTCGAAAATATATTATTATCATAACTTCCTGTTCAATCAATTATTATTATTATTATACTATTATTATTTATGAATTAATCATTATTTTCGTTTTTTTCAGATGGCTTGCACTGGATTAGTGGATCCTGGTCCTGTGGCGTCCGCAATGACGAATCCAACTCACCAGCATCCCCTTCAGGATTATTCGTATGCTTACTTCGAACCTGGTCCGAGTCGGCTGCACAGCACATATCCGGCGGAAGTGGGCCTGAATCGTGTACAGCAGCAGCAACAACAACAAGTGCGTCCGGATTCATTCAAAAGGCATACATACATGACACGATACGGCACGGAGGAGAATATTTACGAGGAGATATCGGAAATCAAGTGAGAAATTTATCATAAAAAGATAATTATTCAAAAATAATATCTCTCCAGTTAAAATTTAACATACCATAATTATGAAACTAAGATATTAAATATTAACTTAATAATATTTCAAAAAATCGAACTCATGAAAATCGAACATACAACAAATTCACGGAATTCAATGAATTTATCTCAAATTTATCAGGTTTCTATTTCCTTTCGTGAAAATCTATCTTTGAGTATTATTATTTCATGCCAGGAAAATGGTGTTTGCTTTCAAAGGAAGACTAAAGGCTTCTTACGGTCGATAGGAACGCTCGTTGTTGATTGGCGCGGTAGAATTATGTTTCATTCAATCTAAATGGTTGATGAATACGCACGTTCATTTGCCTCGATGCGAAGTGAACTTCAAGTCAAACGCATGCGCACAATTCAAGTGGAATGGACGAATCCCTTCTCCTTTTTGATCACTTGGTACGATTCGGCGTACCATATTCACCGGATGCCATGCGATTTAACGATTACAGTCGTAAACAATAAAAAAACAAGAAGAAAAGATTGTCACGAACGTGCAATTGCATTCAAGAACATGAGTCACGCATGGGGATAACACGAATACTTATCTATTCAGATTAAATTCGATCTTCGAGTAAATTGTTGGGTGTCTCGCAAAAAATTCAACGGTTTTGCTGTTTTGAATGGAATGTTTTTGATTGGATATCGCAAATTGGAGGAACATTGACAGGTTTTTGAACAGGTTTTTTCGCTAATAATATAAAAATTGAAATATTCATGTTTATTATAAATATTTTGTTATAATATTATATAGATTAATCATTTAAAAAATGGACGCATTCATAATTTTGATGATATTTAAATATATTGTAAAAAATAATTTTTTCCCTTTTTATATAATATGATAATCCATCGACTTAATTTTTTTAGATGTTTATAGTTATCATTAAATTAAATTTTGCCTATATATGTGTGCTGATAGCAGCGTATGATCAAGTGCCAAGCTATTTTACAATGATCGAATAAAATAAATGAATAGAATCTAATTATTATCTTTTCTTTATAGTTTATATAAACGAAGATTGGATAAATTTTATTCCATACTGCGTTCACAACTGCGTAGACATCGCTATAAAAATCTAATTGTAACTTCGATCGATCGTAAATTATCCAAGCTCGTAATACACTACATTGAATAATAATAGTTAGATTGATACTAAAATAAAATTTTTAAAAACATTTTTTATAGCTTTGCATATAAAGTTATGTAATGGAGTTTGTATATTTTAAATTCATGAAATGTAATACAGAGATAAAAAATCAAAACTGATAGATGAAAACTGATCATCAGGCAAGTGAAATTTCAGTTATGCTTGTATTGTATTACAAATATAGGCAGAATTAAATATAATATAATTGTATATAGTTTTTACCAAATATCTTAAAAATAAAGATTGTATAAATGGTATACATAAAAAAAGTTGTTTAAAATAATATTTTTTACTATATATATTTCAAAATTATTAAAATCGGTGAAAGAGTTAATCGCCAGATTTACTATATCTTTTATTTTATTTGATAAATTTGAAATTTGTTATCAAATTATATTATATTTAATTACAATGAAATTTAGAATATTGATTTATATAAGTTAGTAAAAATATATATATATATATATATATAAAATATTCTTTTATACATCTAATTATTTTATGTATAAACATTAATAATTTTGGCATATTTAATTTACAAAATTAAATTACGAATAACTGTTGAGTATAATCATCGTTTATCCAAATGCTTATACGATATCATATATATTGTAAATGCAAGAGAGAAGCGTTCGTAAATACTAATGGAGAACTCGAATTCATTAGCAGACAATGTCATCGAGCGTTGCATGGTTCGAGAAGATCCCTGGTGGCGGAGGAAGTGCGACGTGTTCAGTCACGGCATCGTCGAGTATTAGGAGAATTGAACCTGAGCGTAGAGGCGATGTTAATGCCCACAGTGGTCGATAACAACAACGAGGATGAAGCACAGGATCAACGCGGAGCATCTACGGAGGAACTGTTATCCTCGGTCAGTCCCACTGATGACCTCCTTTCGCCTGTTGGCTGTGACATGGATAGCGGCTTCAGTGGAAGCTCCAGTGCAAGTTACAGGTTGATAGAAAAACATTATACTTATGCATACAGTTGGTAAAAATTGCATATGGCATATATCAATTCTTTGTGCTTACTCTTTATGCTTTATTTTTTATTTATATATAATTATATATATATATTTTTTATTATGAATAGTTATTTTTTCATAATTCTTACTTATAATTTGCAGATTATTCTTGAAGATATTATTTATATATATTTGGAAACAATCTGGAATGAATATCATTTTGAATCATTTTTTCTTATTGATAAAGATATATAATTGTTGTTAAATGCAATATTTGTGCAATATTTAAAATACATTTTAATGCATAGATATTGTCATTTGAATCATTCTTTTTCTTATTTTAAAATACATAACAATGATGCTCTCCTAATATAATTAAATTTGATAATATATTATAATAGAGTAACTTATATTAATGAAAAATCATAAAAAAAATAATATATTAAACAAATTATCTGTTATTATTTTTGCTATTCATAAAACATTTTTTCATTAATTATTCAAATAGATTTTTATTTGTAACTTGTTGAATCTTTTCTTATATTACATATAAGTACATATTCAAAAACAGGGATCATTAATAAAAAGAAAAAAATACAAAAATAAAAAAAAATTAAATTTCTATAAATTTTTTATTTGTACTTTTAAGCAACTTGTCTTTTCTGAGTAATCTGAAATTAATAAATCTAAAAAAAATAAAAAAATATAAATAACTAATGAACCTAAAGAAAAAGAAAAAGAAATCTAAAATTTCTATTGTTATTTGTTCAGGTCTGGACTAGGATCGTTGAGGAGAGGAATGGGTAAGACTAGTACTCCGGAATTAGCAGGCGGGCAACGTAAAACGAAGGCGGTTATGATCTGGAAAAAGGGTTGGAAAGGTTGGAAAAAACTGCATTCTTTCGGAAACAATAGCAACAAGACTGGTGAGTCATTTCTCGTTTTTGTATTGTATATTTTAGACTTATTGTTTAACTATTATAACATAAAAATGCCTTTATGTAATATTTTTAACACTTGAGTTTAGAATAGTTAAATCTCTACATATTAAAGTTTATATAAGTTTCTATAAATCTATTTCTATTGCTACTGTTTCTGCAATTCGAAGTTTAAGTACAATTATGCAAGATATCAGAAAGCAATTATTCAATATTATCTCTTCTTTCAATTATAAGAATTACATCAAATAACATAAGATGATTTAAGTTTTTTATTCGCTTATATATGAAAGCATTTTTTGTCGATTTTATGATTATATTTATTTTTTATTATTAAAAATTGAATTTCTTTTTCATTCTTTTTAAATTATTATAAGTAGTATTAGGAAATTATTAAGCTTCATATGGGAAAGTTTTGATATATTAAATTTTTATTTTTTCATCATTCATTTGTAATAATTTTTTTTTTTTTTTTAACTTTTTTAATCCGCTTTTTTTTAGAGATTTAACTGTACTTCCAAAACATTTTTATTTCATATATATATATATGCATATTATTGTATCAAATATTAGATAGAAATAATTGAAAAAAATAATAATAAGCGATCGTAACGATGAACAATAATTTAAAGTTCGTTTGAGTTCTTTTTCCTATCGATTATCTTGACTATAATAAATCGTCGGTACAATGAAAGTGCAAGCTATGGTCAAGCTTCGGTCACGAGGTATTCATGGTCGGAAATTAATTATACTCGGCTATAGCTGCGTTAAAAATTCTCGTTGTGCGACTCTCGACTATCGTGCTGCGAATACGAAACCTGTAACAGCAAGAAATGGAAGTATATAGAGAGTGAGAGAAATATTCAGAAATGCCACTCCTTTTTTATGAGTTCTTTGAAAAGAATGCAAGAGAATTAGCACTTTCATTTATATGAAATAATATTCTAGAAGCGAAATGTCAAGGAAGTTAGCAAGGCTTTGGATTCGATTCTGTATATTTCATTTTTTAAATTCAAATAAAATAAGAATTATCAGAAAAGGTTTTAAAATTATAGTAATATTGTTACAAAGTATTGCTGTTAATAATTAAATTACATAAATAGAATTATTATAATATTTTAATTAATATATTATAATACTAATTTAATATAGTATATTAGTGTATTAGTATATTAATTATATCAATTGAATTTTTTAATATTAGTTTCGATCGGCAAATGATATTACATAAGTATGATTACACGTATTCAATAGCATAAATGAATATAATGAATATTTTCATTGTTCATATATCAATGATAAATGTAGTTTGAGATATACATAATATACGTGTTGTTTATATTAATGCTAGACTAAACAACGTTTAAAATACTGCCCAAACAATGAAAATGTTTGATGAATGAAAAATAATTTTCTAAGAAATGAGTATAGCTGATAATTTCGAACGTTATACATCATTGATGCGATATATTGCAAAACACAACTTCAATCTCGATCAATCCTCTTGGTGAATCATGTTCAGAGGCCCATCGAACACCTTTTATGCATTCGTATCACGGCCCTTTGTCGCGCATAACTGCACAAGTATGCGCAGGCCTTTCTTTCATGGGAACACTGCCCTCTCTCGGACTATGACGCAAGCGTTTAGTCCCATACACTCGTGTGCATTTGGCGCACGAACCGAGTTAATTATTGGTACTTGGAACGGGTCAGCCTTAGGGTCATTCGGTGGAGAAGCAGATGCGAGACCACGTGCACACCCAACTTATTGCCTCTGTCTTTCTCACTCTCATATTCTTCCCACTACGATCTCTCTTTTTCTCTTTATATCATCTCTGCCTCTATTTTCATCTTTCTTTCACTTTTTACACGTTTGAACGATAGTTTCGCTCTTATATGCTCTTCAGATTTTTGACCATCCGATTTAATTCATCCTTAAAAATTAATTTGCTTAAAATATAAAATAAAATTAAACTTGATAAAAATATGGAAATTTCTATATATAGTAAGATATTGGATTAGTTTCGTTTCTAAAATAATAATTTAAAGTGAATATTTCGCAATTTGTTATTTTTTTTTAAGTTATTTTTCCTATTTTATATGTTAAGATAAAACTATTGAAATTTTTTTAAAATTTGCAAACATCTAAAGATATTTTTATTCTTTAATATTGTATAAAGTCAAGAATAAAACATTATTTTTTCGATAAGATTCATTTTTTACACTACAATGATCGATAATCGAAAGAAATCGTAAACAAAGAATTCTGTGCATAGGGCAGGTGTTCAGAAAAGAACAATCTCTTAAACACTTGACCATATGGTTTCCGGAATCCCGCTATTCTCAAGAGACCTAGGCCTACCCTAATCTCTAGACAGAACCTCGAGGACACTCGTCCCGCGTAGAACAATACCAGCTTTGTGGTGACCGGATGTTACGAGTTTTCTCGGAATTTCAAGGTGAAGTCGACGAACTCCACAATCGTGAAGAATATGTCCGAGAACTGTAATTTGAATATTTGAATATTTAAATTATTTCTCGAATTCTCCTTGTCCGGTGTATATATACCTATACATACATATATATATTGTCAATTTGACAAAAGAATAATAAATCTTGAATTATCAATTTTGAGAACATAAATATTAGATTTATTAGATATTCTTAAATAATTAGATTTTAATTTGAATTAAAAAATGTTTTGAGCAATTTTTTCCTTTATAATTGATCTTTAGTTTTCAAGTTATTCATTATTTAGTACTATTACTATTAAAAATCGGTGAAAAAGAAATTAATCGGCAGATTGATTCAATGAAAAATAAATTAAATCAATATATTTCATTGAAAGTTTAATATATATAAATAAATATTGGATATTTATATATTGGATACTAGAAAAGTAAAATTAAATTTTATGCTGTCTTCCAACTTTAAACAAAGATTAAAATCATATCTCAGATTTCGTTATGAATGGAAGACATTTTGCTACAGTCACGCTTGAACACTCATGCGGCAAAACGTGTAAGATTTCCAACGAAAAAACAAGCTTTCTTAAATACAATAATCTATTTGTTCCGCAATAGTAATAGCAATAGCAATTGTTTCACTGAAAGGAATACGAAATTTTTTTGATGAAGAGTAAAGTATAAAATATAAGTTGAAAATATTATTAATCAATTGATAACATTATGTCTGGAAAGACAAGATTCTTTCTTTCCTCTTTTTATATTTTCAATAAGATCAACATGCATCATTCGCTATATAATCTATTTATTTTCTTCATCGCGTTTTGTACTCGAAGATCTCGATCGTTTCATGACTTGAGATCATCACGATATGATACTACCAACTGATATCTTCGCGACTTTCTCAGCAACTTCACGCGATTTTTCTTGTTATCATTCATTGTCTTCTCTTCTCGACGCGACATATAACCTTTCATATAACCTAACTAAATCTTTCGAGCAATTCTAACATCTCTGACGTCACTTTCTCAATCGTTAGCTTCGAGGCATGTAATAATCACATAATAAAGATATTCCTCATATCTCGTTTTCTCATAGCAGAATTTTTGTTTGTCTGCTTGGAAAATATAACATTTTCAAAGATAATAAATTACATATAAAAAAATTTAAAAAAACTAATAAATTATTTTTAATCGTAAAAAAACAAAATATCTCATAATAATTAGACAGAAGAGACTTTTTTATTTACAATTGTCATTTAATTTATTCATTAAACAATAGATTATTCAACTATTTTTATCTATCAAAAATTCTATTTTTCAATGTTATAATCAAATTATAACCTAAACTATATAACATAACCTAAAACTCAATATGCATTTTATCTATATATTGATGAAAATCTAACGAACGATAAACATATTTTATTGGCTGTGTTTGGAATTATCTGTGGTAAAAGTTTTTTGCTAATATCTTGGAAATTAAAGACGAACAGCGCTTATATCTATAGGGAAAAGTTATTCAATTCTATTGACACTCGTAACACATTTCAAAATCATTGATATGTATCTTTCGCTCATACTTTTTGTATTTTGATTGAACAATTAATGCCACGTGTCTTTAATCTTTATTCCGGAAATGAATCGCTGATTCGATGCTCAATTTCCGGATTAGATTGAACCGGAAACGCGTTTACAAACGAGGTGGGTTCTTCCGGTGTCGACGAGACGTAAAGGAATTCGTGTGGATCGATGTACTCGTTGTCGATCAATGTAATACCTTGATCCAAAGATTTCATCGATTGTATTATAAAATGACCATGTTTCCATGTATCAAATCTTTTAATAGATCGGTAAACAAATGCATAATCGACGGGGGATTATCAATGTTATGATTTTACATACATGATATATACATTTATTTTTTTCTTTTCATCCCAATAATTTTTAATAATTTGTATAAAAATAACTTGTATAAATAATATATTGGTTTTTTTTGTTTTTTTAACATGCAAAATTGATATTTAAATTAGGATTAGGAAAATCTATTAAGGATTAATTGAATTCGAACGATATTCAGGAAATATTTCTATAATTTTGAATATACTGCATATGTAAATTTTGCAAGATTGTAATTTATAAATGGAATTGATCATTTTAAGATTTAATATTTATTAATTATTGAATGTGAAAATTAAAAGAAATTGGAAAATAAGAATAAAATGTAACTTATTGTTAAAAAGTTATTATATATTATTAAATAACTATTAATTAATATTTCCTTTAATCTATCTACTATCAAACTATCTACAAATCAAAATTTTCATGTCTTATTTTAAAAGTTTTATTAAGAAATGTATGTTATACAGAAAACTCGATTAACATTAGAATTATTGATCTTAATAAATATTTAAATATTTATTAAATTAATATATAAATAATGACATAATTAAAATATTATAAAAATAAGTATATAATATATTTGTATTTCTATAAAATAAAATATTAATTTTGCCAAGGATAT